TTTTTTTGCGTATATCTTGTCCATTTGCTGATCTGTTTGACTGTCGGATGCTTCTTTTGCGGATCGAGAAGAGATGGAAAGCTAAAATTTTGAGGTTATGTTCCCCGTCCGCCCATAACTCTGAGATTTCAAATTCAGCCCCCAGGTGTGCGTGGTTCCGCGTATGCAGAAAAAGACTGTTTAGCAGGAACTTATAAGCTCATAAAATTTTTGTGAAGTTCTGTCGTTCAGAGAACTGCATGGAACCGAATGGGTTTATCGTGAGGTGGGCCATACATCGTTAGCAGAAGCGTGTGAACGAATGACAGAAGCATGTCGTTCCGCGGTTGGCCATGATCGAATACAAATGATTACCGAGCGACAGGTTCCATATTTTTCGAAATTTGCTCTATCGTTACCTCTCTTACCAGCTATAGTACCGATTTTTCTTGTTGTATAGTAGAATGGAGGGGGAGGGGGGAGTCGAACTGGTAAAAATTATTGCAGATGAATTAAGTAAATCCACTGAATTATATCATATTACGCAAAAGCAGTACTTTCATTGAGAGGAAGTCAGAGGAAATAAGTAAAAACAGACTATTTTACCAAGAAATCCCTGACCCAGCCAGTTGATATAGGGTTATCTTGTTGGCTTTTTAAAAGTAGTTATAAAAATTCTTGTTGGTTTTTTAAAAGTTTTTTTCTTTTTCTTTCCTTCATGCCACTATTACTCCTTTTAATCTCACTATCGTATCATCTCTTCTGTTTCCTTTTCTTTTCCTTTTCCGTTAAGTACTACGACCGCAGTTTTCATTGCTACCTGCACCTGTTTTTTCGGCAAATGCTTCTAGCTAAACAAATTAAGACTGGCCGCCAGAACTGTCAGGAAACATCCCCTCTAAATTTCAGCTCTCTAGCCTCCCTGGCACCTGAGTTAGCAACTCACTGGAACAAAATTTTTACGAGGTTTTGTTGCGGTGTTGAGTTTAAGCGTATCTAGGAATTAATGGACCGAAATTTCTTTGCTTCTCTCATACTGTTCTCTCATGCTGTAATCTATCATGCCTTCGTCATTTTGGATTCTAAGATCAACCTGGTTGCTATAGTCTGCTTTTACCGGGATGCTACGGCAGGTGTGTCCATTTAGGCCTCTCGTTTCGTTTCTAAGTTGCGTGCCTCCAGTTAGTGCGCAAAGCTTGATCGATGCTTGTATGCCATCTCTTTGTAGCTCCTCCAAATGGTTG